TTACGGTTTACGTTTACTTTTAGTTAATACTACGTACTACGTACGTACGTACTCTCTTACTAGTTAGGTTAGTAGTAAGAAGTAGTAAGTTACTACATATATATATATATATATATATATATATATATATATATATATAAATGAATTCGAAGCTTTACAAAACATCTTAACAGTCTTGCCAAATAGTTGGCCAAAGCAGAATCACGAGTTCGAAACCCATTCACTATACGTTTTTACTTGTTCAGAAAAACTTAACTACAGGTAACGGTGTGCTTAGTTGAAAGATTCTATAATATTATATGAACCGAGAAGCACATTGAATTTTTTAAACTATATTTTCAATTTTTGTTTTCAACATCACAACACAAACCAAAAGATGGCTACAGATGTTTTGTCGTGAAGTTGATCGTAAGATAAGAATCGGTTGAAGTTCAAGCATGTTTGACAACTTGGTTCACGAGTTCGTGAAACTCTAGGGCATATTATTTTTACAAAGTTTGTATTTTGATGGCTTCTTAAGCAACTTTAAAATAAACTGAAATAGCCAACATTCTTGCACGTACTCTTAGACGGAACAACTCAATATTAGTAATTTGCACAGGGTTTAAGTATTTTCTTATCAGGGCCTGGTGGTAAGGGCACTCGACTCGCAACCTGTAAGTTGCAGGTTCGAATCCCGTCACCGAACATGCTCGTCCTTTCAGCCGTGGTGACGTTATAATGTAACGGCCAATCTTACAATTCTTTGGTAAAGAGTACCTCAAGTAACTTCCCATCCTTCTAGTCTATCACATCAAAATTAAGGACGGCTAGTGCGGGTAATTATTGAGTAGCTTTTTGCGAAATTCAACAAACAAAACATTTTATGTTGGATAATGTATTTAGAACGACTGGTTCACTAAATTTATATACGGTATTCGATGACGAAATGTCATTTGTAATTAGATAATTCCTAGTCATTTTGAGAAATTGTCAACTACAGTTTAATTATAAGCTAAATAAATACACAACTAACTTGATTGTATTTTTAAAATCACTTGTCTTGTAAGGAAATAAAATTTCATGACAGCACATTGAGAATTATGACAATAATAATTATGATAATATCATAATATTATTAATTATAATTATTATAAGTATTAATTATAATTATTATAAGTATTAATTATAATTATTATAAGTATTAATTTTAATTATTATAAGTATTAATTTTAATTATTATAAGTATTAAGTATTAATTATTATGCTACAGGATGTACCAAAACCACATTACACTGCCTATCTAAATCGCTTTTCTGGCTTTTATTTCATTTTCTTCCCTCTCTTTTAAACAATACGAGATTAGTGACTTGAACAAGATGTGTATCAGTGTGTGAGGTACTGCGAGGATCAATAATATACACTCCTCATAACAAATCATACTTGCAAGGATCAATATACAATCCTCAGAACAAATCATACTAACAGTAGATTCTTTTAGGGATGGACTCGGATTGAAAATCATATTGAACACCTTCTTGATACACTTTACTATGTCCAAGCCTCTTTGTATAAAATTTGTGATTCTCAAGGTGCCTATGGTGAGCTTCTATTCCCCTAGGTCATTTAAGGTTTAAGATATAATGATTTTAAATTATCTTTACAGTCATTACGTATAATGTTACGAGAAACCCCTATCTGCAAGGTAAACAATTAACAAGACTGATTTTTCAATAGGTAGAGAGTGATTTCGTTAATCACAATCAAACGGTCAAAGGAACATTTTTTGAACCACATAATATATGGGAATAACTTAATCACACTTGGAACTTGCATTCGTTTAGATTTTTTCTTGTACAAATTTTATTCCTTTCTGCTGTTAATACGAACCCCAAAGATAGAAGTCACTTCGAATGGGTAAACAATATTGGAAAATAACTGACTTATTTTTTCCCATAAGGGTTTCTCTCGTGTTTGCAGGAATCATGCGTTTTTGAAGTTCAAAGAATTATTGAATGTTCGCTAATTTGTGGTGCGTGCACCAATCAGATGTCATCAATTCTTATCTATAGCAGCAAAGGAAAGCAAGAAGTATAACGTTCTAGACCCTCGGCTTATTCAACATGTACAAAATGGCAGACTTCTATAAATCTTTCTGAGATATACGTTTCAGAAACAAAACTCCAGTGTCGTATTTTGTCACCATTTTATCATATATGCATCTTTAGTTACTTGTTACCACTAAAAGTAAGTGTACTTCTCTAAGTTACAGATCATTAGATAATGACAACGTTTGTTCTTATTAATTTTAGGTATAGTGATGGCAAGTCTTCTAGAATTGATGTTGCTTAAGATTTTCTAAGATCAGACCTTTTTATGAAAAATTACTCTAACTAATAATACAACTGTTCAATTTTTGTTTGTAACTGCTAAATCTAAACCCTTGAAACAAAAACAAACAACCTCTAGCATAACCATTGTAAATCTTGTTTTACTGAAGAAAATTAATATTTTCTGACAACACGTGTTTCACACTCAGTAAGTAGCTTCTTCCCCACTAGTTTTTGCCAGAGTAAGAAGGCTATAATATTACAAATTGGATTATCCAATAATGATACTTACAACCATACTGAATATGCTTTTCCATAATTATACTAATTGTTCTGACAGTGGAACAATCTATGCCTTTTAATGCTGATACGAACCGTATTCTTCAACAATGATGTACCAACTAAATCCTTCAGTGAAGATATCAACTATAGTCTCCAACGATGTTTGTGGTTATTTATGGAATCATCAGGAGAATATGAAAATTATAGTGCTTTACAGTCTTCAAGAGAGTACGTCTTAGCAACTATGTTTTCACCACTACTTACTGTACAGATAAACACGTAAACAGATCTGATGAACAAACAATACTTCATAACCACGTTTTTCTTACAATAAAGATGATCCATTATGTGTGTGTGTCTGTGTGTTTTAACATCCATTACCCAGAATTGGCTGGCTCGTTTATCGTAATTCTTGAATGGGAATTGGTAATTGTCTAACGTGGTATATGGGCTATTTTGTTTTAGGATTTTTATCCGAAAAGAGAGATAAAAAAGCTTCTGAAGTAAGGTACATTTCTACTTTGTAATAAATGTTTGGTTTGCACCACCCAAAATTGGCTGGTTTGATTATGGTAATTTTTGGTTTGATAACTGGAAACTTGTTCGACAGTGTACATTGACTATTTTGTTTTAGGATATTTTTCCCAAGAAGGGAAATACAAAACACTCTGAAATACAACATTTCCACTTTTTTGTGGACTTTCTTGCTTTGAATTTAAAGACACAAGTACTTATCAGTCAAATGAGTCAATTATTACTCTTCACAAAGCAGGGTATGCAATAAGCATCTAATGAGGTTACTGGGAATTTAATAATAAAAGAAAGAAGGAAA